TTCGCTATGTTTATAGCAATTGTAATACCTTTAACCATGTGATCAGTGAAAGGACTTGGATTCACATTGGTACTGGTACGTAGCCTCTGGCCATGTAGAGCATGTCTCCATAAGAGAATGACTTCTATTCTATGGCATTGGCAAATGGTTAGACAGGACTATAAGCCTGAAATCTAACAAGATGTTAATCAGAAATTGCATGTCTTTAATGCCATTTGGACCAAATCTTTATTGATGTATATCAAGAATTGTAAAGTATATCTTTGAATAAAGTCTTTGATTGATATGAACACTTGTCACATGATCTCACATACATCTTGTTGTTCCTTTTTGTTTTTGCCACATTGAAGTATATATATGGCATACCATTATATTGTATTTATTTTGAACTCACTAAGCGTCACTGCTTACCCTATCAATGTTTAACAATTGCAGGTGATAAGTAACTAGTATGTTTACATACTTGAAAGATGTGCAATAGTTTGTAATAGTACTTTTATACTACATTTTATGTTTGTATAAATTACAATATCCTGGGTAGTTATGTAATATATATAACACTTTGTAATAGAAGGTTTGTATCCAATAGTTTGTAATTCCCTTTATCAATGTAAAATATTGCTTTTTATGAATATGCAAATAGCATGTTTTGGAGTAATTATATTGTGAAGTATGAAAGTTTGGGTCTTTCAAAAATACGAAAGTTGGGGGTTTTCAAAAATTCTATAAGCTTCAAGCATGATTCAAATGGGGACTCAAGCATGTAATTAATTTTTCACAAAAATCCAAAAAAAAACAAACTACAACATTCTTACAACTTGGAGTTTTCCAAACTCCTAGTGAATCATACTAAAAAATTGAAACCTAATCACCTACAAAGAACTGCGAGAAGGTATGAAGGCTAGAAACTAGTGGATCTTGCTTCCTCTTATACCAAGCAATCAGTTGCTCTTTAAGATCCACACCAAAAACACGAAAGCTCAAAATCTAAAAGGGGAAGGCTAAGGTTTTATGTTATGAAGGATGGAGACTACAAATGGGGTAAACACTAGACGTTAGAGCCTTTAAATAGGGTCTAAAATACAAGGCTTGTTATTTTAGCTAATTGTGGCTACGCGCCACATACTTCGCTATAGAGGCGTTGTATCCATGTGATGCCTATACGATGTGAACTAGGCATGCATGCACCACGTAATTCCAAAATCTCATTTCTTAAAATTAATAAATGGAATTTCCTGAAACAGACATTAAATAACATATTCAAATTTCCTTCATCCATAATCTCATGTTCTCCTTGATGAATCAAACTACAGTAACTCGATTAAGATGTTTTTAATGACCTTACTCTTCTTTATTATGCATTTTGTGACATAAGGTTAAATATCTTTTTTTTTTTTTTACTTTACCCATAATCTCACAGATACCAATAAGGACTAATCCTTCATCATCTATACATCTGAAACTAAACTGAATAACATCAAATCTTCCAAATGGGCTCCATGTTGGATGAACCAAAGATTTATATTCCCTCTAAATATTTATATTTATAGCTATATATGGCTAGATATACAAAAAATAATGTACCTTCACTTACATATGTATTATAGCATCCTACTTTTATTAAGGAACTATAAAACAAAAGAATGAAAGTAAGATGATATATAAAGAAATGTTCAATGTTATAATTAGGATAGGTTGTCCAACATATTGTGTTTAAATTAGCAAGAAAATAAAAGTGCAATGCTATTATGGGATATATTTGCCCAACTATAGTACTTTATTATGAATTTGAGCATTGCACTTTCGTTTTTGTTTCTTAAATCAATGCACTTTTAGTTTTTTTATTGTTAAGGCATTCTACCTTGAAATTATAGAGAATTAGAGCATTTTTATTTCACCTTATTTTATTGTTAACGTGTTTTACTTTGATATTACACATTGATGGTTATGTCAAACAAGATGAAACCATTCTTTGAAATGACAATTTGACCTTCATCATCTGTGTTCTCCACACGATGGATTTCCATTTTTGGGTTGATTAACTACATAAACCCATAGACCACTAAGTTGTGCAACCATGATGCATATTTTCTTGAAATTTTTAATAAAATAATATAAATTTCATAAAAAAGTCAATATTAACAATTTATTATTTGAGGAAAAAATATATATTTTGACATAGGAACTTCAAAAATAATACTTTTAGCTTCAATTAGAAATGGAATTGTTGCAATTCATGTTGACAAATGGAGTACCAGATGAATTGTTGTGTGTGTGTGTGTGAAATGTGAACAAATTGAGTAACTAACATCTTTTAATCCCAACAAGGTTAGTCATGGTGAATTCACCCGAGAATAAAAGACAAGGGCGTTATTGGTTACAATGTGTATTTTTAATATATAAGTGTTATCTATTGAAGTATTTAAATAGTTTAAGTGCATATAATAATAATATATTTTAATTAGTTTTATAATCTTAGACATAATATTATTCTCTACTAAATAACAACAGACTTCCATTTTTATCTTCATATTCAAGTGAGTTTTCTTACTGTATTACTTATGTTATTATTGGATTTTTTGTGTGTAGATTACGTGTGTGATACTGTGTTATGATTGTATGCTAGACTAGTAGGGTCTTGCTTTGTGACATCCCCAATTTTCTCGTCAAGTAAAGACCCTTTTATTTATGCTTATTTTAAAACAAAGTTTATTTATAAATGCAATTTTTTTTTCACATAAAAGTATTTCTGAAGAAATGTTTTTCATTGATTATTAAAACTTGGGATGTCATAACTGATACAAGAAACATAAGCATAACCATAATGATTACTGACCTTACAATATCTAATGGCATGCATATCCTTTAATATCTCATTAGATCCACTCATCAAATACCTTCGTATCGATACTTGTGATACAAAGAAACTTAGTGGGTTATCCCCAATTTTCTCGTCAAGTAAAGACCGTTTTTATTTTTGCTTATTTTAAAAAGAGTTTATTCATAAATGCAAAATTTGTCCCATAAAAGTATTTCTGAAGAAATGTTTTTATTGATTATTAGAAATTGG